AGTAGAGTGAGGAGGATGGGGGTATATATAACGCGACAATTGCCGGATGCGACCGTTCGTGCGAATTGCGCGCGGGGAACTTAGGTAGGTATCGTGTACGCGAATCTCCGCGAGGAGGGAGGGGGAGGGGGGAATGACGGGAGGACGGCGATGGTAGAGATGAGCGCGAGCAGGAGGGCGAACGAGGGTGAGGGGTTGTATAGATACGTCCCTGCGGCGGTGGTTTGTAATATTATGATAACCCTCCCTGCCTGGCTGCCTTCCTCCCACCTACTCTCTCTCTCTCTCTCTCTCTCTCTCTCGCTCTCCCTCTCGTTTCCCTCCTACGCGTACACCAGGCGGCCACCCTCTTTCAGCGGCCATGTTGCCGGGAAATATGATTATTGTTATTATTTGCACCCTCCTTCGGTCGTATCCTCCTGACTCCTCACCTCTTCGTAACAGTCCCGTCATCCTACACCTATACCGACGTGGCTTTCTCTCCTTCTCCATTCCCCCCTCTCTCTCTTTTCCTCTTTATTCCTCTCGCGCAGCATCCCCGCAGTCGTGCCATCCTGCGTAATGCTTCGCAGCTCTCTCCCCTTCTCGTCACGCGGATCTCTTTCCCTCTCCGCCGACTCTCCTACGACTCCATTCTCCAGCGCGTACCCCTGTTCTCCGTGTGTAGATTTCTCTTCGCTGGCCGACGAATTGAGAGGAAACGAACGAGAACAGGGCCGAAGCAACTGGCCGTCAACCAAAACCGCTTCCCTCTCTTGCCCCCTTCCGTCGTGCATCCTTTCTATACTATCCCTCCTGGTCTCCCCTTTTCCTGCGGTTATCCGGAAAACTTTATAACGCGAAACGCTATCCCTGCGTCTCGTACTTTTCGGCTCGCACTCTTTCTCTATCTGTGTCTCCCTTTCTTTCTCTCTTCATCTTTCCTGTAGTTACGCGCGGGCCCACTTTTTTCTTCATCGTCTCGCTTCTTCTTTCGCTTGTTGCTCCTCCCCCGCAGCAGCTTTCCACGCGCGCGGTTCATTCCAACTCGTCCCTGCGGAAACGTTTCATCGACCACCATTCTCGGCTTTTTTTCCTTCGGGCTTTTTCTCGCCTCCTTGAACTTTTCTCGCGTATCTAATATCGAGACTGTTCTTCAACGGGCAAAAATCCCTCGTCAAATCTACCGCGTCGTACGTATTAAATACCATTGTCTATGCTCGATATGTGTAGAATAACATGCGTGATATCATCTCGTACCGCATTTAAAAGCGTGTCGTATTAAATAAAAATTTTAGAGCACGATATAATTGTACGCTACGTGATATTTATGCATAAACCGTAACTCATTATCATATTTTTTTTCGTACCTTTACAAGTATAAAATAGTCTTACAGTGCAATTACAATTTTTGGCTCTTTAGAAAATGCACAATTTAGCATGTTATTTTAAACAGCATGCGTCGTAAAAAATAAGTGCGCTGTTCACGTTGTAAACAATATCGTGACTTTCCGTAATGCATGCATGTGCGAGTTAATTATCGCACGTTGAAAAATAAATATACGAGCTTTAACTTTAGCGCGAGTTCCGTCAGAAATATACAACACATTTGAATTTTAAACGTACATTTAGCGCTAAATGTAGCCATCTAATTCTCATTGCGTTGTCCCATTTCATCTGTTTACATTGCGCGTATGCGATTTTCATATTAAGTACATAAAGCACAGAATAATCTAACACATTTAACATTTAGTGTTAAATATACGAGGAAATGGAAGGACCAAATTTTCAGGAGTTAGTATGTTTAACGAAGAATTTATATATACCTCCAAAGCGCGTGATCTCTTAATTTCCGCCTTTTCATTATGGCGAAGGCTCGATAATTCGTGCCTCTAAACAAATAGAAACGGTAGCCAGAGTTTGAAGAGACATGTAGCTTTAATACACGTAATTCGTCGTAAACTCGCTTAATCGTGTCGAGTCTCTCGCCGTAAACCGCGAGCGCAGCTATATATAATAGTAAGCGTTGAAGATAATAAGGTGCTCGGGAATAGCATGAAACAAAGGAAATGTTAGGTGCGGTTGAAAACTAAGTGAAAATAAACTATACGATAAAATAAAAAAGACAATAGAAATAAATGATATACGTATAGAGGAGTTGATTTTGGCAATCAATTTTCACTCAAAATTATCTGAGGAATTGTATAGAGCGGGAACTTTTGTTCAACAATGCATGAATAATGTGAGCATTATGGGCGGTATTCATAGTCGGTTCTCATATTTAAGATCGTCTTAAGATGTTGAACCAATCAGAAAGTCGTATTAGCATCTGAAGACAGTCTTAAAATAAGATTCGACTATGAATACCAGCCAAAGAGTATAACGCGTTTCTTTCGAAAATCGTATATTCTAAATTTTTAAGCGAAATACATAATAACCCTGAACAATCGCGGGGCTCTCGTGTTTCTCTGCAAACATGATTAATATCATTCGCAGTTGAGAAGTAGATAGTAGTGCTACATTTCAAACAGATGTACCTTTATTACGTATAATTTGTAAAATAATAAAGACTACGAGACAACGTTTTGGAAAACAAAAAGAAAGAGGTATAGAAAAAAATGTTGGAAGATACCTTTCGAGAAATACAATAATAGCAAGGCAAAGTGCGAATAATAAAAAATAAAAAAATACGATTAAAATGAGGAAGCCTTTCGATTAACCTTTTTTCTCCTTCTTAATATATTTTATATCTCGAGAATCTTCTAATTTTTAATTATTTAAAATAAGGAAAAATTTAAAAGAAGATTTCGAAGACAAAGTATAATAAAGTTAATTGGTACGTCATGGTAATGTGTGTAACGCAGTAACACTTATATAAATACAATACACACGAGAGTGTTGATTAGTAAACTGCGGCGCTTGTATTTCGGGAACCACTCGATCGCTGTTAAATCTAGACTAATAGAGTAGCGTAGCGACGCGCTACAGAGAGACATAGTATGAGTAATTCTCTGTAAACTCGCGACTAATCGTGTTATTCGAGCGGGCACGCGTAGTTATGTAATGGTAGCGTTAAAGCGTTAATAAGGATCGCGGTGTGGTGCTTAAGAACAGAACGAAGAAACGAAGGAGATACGCGGGCGATACGCGTCGAAGGTGCAGGTAGGAGGCAAGAAAGAAGGGATGAACGGTGGAAAATGCCTGCGAAGGATAAAAGGAAGTGCGGGGGAAGGGGAGGGGAGGGGAGGCGGTTGGTCTTTCGGTCGTGGTAGTCACGAGAGTCGTGGTAATAAATGGGCAACACGAGCGCTTATAAGGGGTAGGTAATCTAAAGCTTTGGAGGCGGTGGCGCAACGGGGGCTGTCGAGAGAAAGGGCGGGAGAGAGGTAAAGAGGGAGGGAGGGAGGGAGGGAGAGGACCACACGATGAAGAGGAGGTAGAGAGAGAGAGAGAGAGAGCGCGGCGTGTGTAGGGTGAGAGGGTCTGGTTGGAGGAAAGCATAGCGCGGAGGAAGGGGCGGATAAGGGTGGTTACGAGCGAGGGTGTGAGATAAGGTATAAGGTGGGTAAGATGGCGGACAATTTGCCGCTCGACTACTCTTGCCCGCACCCCTCCCTGGACGCGATTCCAACCTCCAGTTCCTCCGGGCCCCCCTCCCCCTTCCGGTCTATGTACCGGGTAATAGATGTTCCTCCTTCACGACCAACGTGGAGACGCTGAACGCGCGCGCAAAAGCGTGTACGCCATCCTCCTTTATCTCGTCGCTTCTTCCTCCCTCGCTCTCTTGCGGCAATAAGACAGAGGGAGGCAAGCCGGGAACGACGGCCGGGGGAGGCATGAACGTGCGTGACGGTGAGAATTGCGCGTGCACGTGCATACATAGACGGACCGAGAGTTGCGGCCGCGTTTCACCTACACGGAAAACTGCCGCTCTGACGGAGTACAATCGTCGGTGGGTACGTAGGTATTTAAACGTTCTCCCGACACACAGTCACCCTGCGCTGCCGTCGCGCTATCCACCCCCTTCTTCTCCCGTCCGCCCCCTGAGCCGTTTCCGTCGGCGTCCCCTAGTCGGCAGACCGCACCAGCGTGCTCTCTCTCTTAGCATTCCATCCGCCATCTTCTCACTTAATAAAATAATTACCCCGGGCCAATTAAGCGTTCCCCTCTACGCCGTTCGTTCGTTCCTTCCTTCCTTTATGTGGGACCCCGGCCGAGCGTTCTCCACGACTTTCGCCGATATAATATAATAACGCGGCACACATATTATTTCAGCGTTTATTTGTTATCGCTTTGCGTGATGAAAATCTTAAGGAACCTTAGCTAATTGGCACGTTATATCTGTGCGCGTTCGCGCGACTAAACTTCAGCCTCATTATTACAGCCGTAGTTAGACATGCGGTTAATGATTGTATACGATTTTGCGTAACGTCATTTCGAAGAGATAAAAATTCAAAGTAATAAAAATTCTTACAAAATTTAACTGTATATTTTTGCACCAATTATCAGATTTATTTATTAAAAATCGACGCATTTTCGTAAAAATATAAATGTAGTAATTACATTTTTAGTTATTTTTACATTTTTATTATTTTTTAATGTCTTTTGGGGAAAAATATAAATATTAATCCTTCAATTCAGATAAATATAAAAAAAAATTAATATTCTGTACGAGTTGTTTAATTTATAAAATTAACATTCGTTCTTTTTCTCAATAGAAATGCGATTAAAGGTATGCATACACCCTTTTTGAAATTGAATACATACATATATACAAAAGTATTACAAATATTAATCTTCTTCCAAAAAAGCATAATTACATCGTGCTTCATAAATTTATGTATATAAACTTCGCACGACAGCGGTGAACTCTTTTGACTATTCTCGAAGCTTGTTTATATTTGATTTTATTAAGAAACACCTACCTTACTGTTCAACGATGAAGGGATATCGGTAGACGAGCCATGTTTGCGACGAAGATGGCACCACTTTTAAAGCTCAATAATTCCATCTGTTTCAAGATGTCTGCTGCGGCATTGACACGTCGTGTTTTCGGTCAACAAGTAGTCACAAGTATCAACAAATTCGCCGGTTTAACAGTTTCGGTGTTGTCTCAGGTACCAAAAAGGTACAAATGGAAACTCGTGAAACTACCAGAACCGGGCAAAGGCATTGCTTTCCGAAGAATCGTCCATTTCAAAGATGAATACACAGTGGAGCCTCTGAGAGTTACAAACCTAGCAGGCAGAGATCCTGTCACAGGTACGTGAGAGATAATAATCGTTATTCCAGCTTCACTTTCCTTTTTGAAATGTATCTTATCTTTACTAATAAGTTCTTTACAAATTAATGGGAATCTCTAGTACCGTGTAGATGTTACTCTTGAGAGACCTGACCTCTACTGGCGAAAGTAGGAAACGTGGTCGATAATGCAGATAACTTACGTATCGGTTTAAATTTGGCGCGATTTATTCCGTCGAGAAAGAGGGATTTACTATTATATAATGTTATGAACATCACATCAAAATATATGTAGACAGTTTTTATTAGTTTTTTTTTTACAAGAATAGATAATTTTTGAATTAAAATTAATTTCCATTCAATATCGATATTTTTGGTTGAGATATTTTTTTCAAAAATATATATTTTGAAAATAAAGAAAAATGAATCACTTTTATGAAACAGGCAGAGTAGTAGCCAAAGGTATCGGGGGTGGCATAAAGCACAAGTATCATTGGATCAAGTGGATCAGGGATGGACCCGAGGATCTTGACGAACCGCCAAAGGAAGAGAAAGTCCTACAGGTCTTTAAGGATGGTTGTAGAACGAGTTTTGTCGCGTTGGTCGGTAGCGATCGTGAACTGAAATACATTTTAGCTACGGAAAACATGAAACCGGGCGACATAATACGTACTCATCGAGGAATACCGCGTAATCCTGTGAGACCTTCGGAGGGAGACGCCTATCCTCTTGGTGCTTTACCCATGGGAACTCGCGTTCATTGTGTAGAAAAGTATCCGGGACTGGGTGGGTTTCTCATTCATGCTGCGGGTACCGTCGGAATACTGTTAAAGCGAGAGGAAAATCGTGTGGTAGTACAGATGCCTAGTAAAAAATTGTTTAGTTTTTATGAGACGTGTATGGCTACGGTTGGTCGATTATCGAATATCCAACACGATTCTATTCCAATTGGTAGCCCACAGAAAAATCGAGAATTGGGAAATCGCCCGAGGAGCGGTTTATGGCATCGCAAAACTGGTAGATTCGGTCGTAAAATTAAACCACCACCTCGTGTACAATCTGTTGGCGATAAAAAATCGGTACCGTATCATATGCTTGTTTTGAATAGTCCTCATAACGCTTAAACTATGTCAGATAAATTGCAGTTGTAGGTCAAGATATATTATATAATAAACGCTCGTTTCAAACACTCAACTTTGAATTTTATTGTCTTCGTTATCCTTTCTCACTCAACAAGAAAACACATTTAGACATCTCTTAAATTCTAAGATATTCGTTATACATACACAGACCGAAAAACGAGAGATATGCGTTTGTTTGGACGTATATTATTAAGATAGTCTCGTTTCTGAATCATATAAGCGGGCTGTTTACTATCTAGAAAGTCTAAAAATCTCAGATTTTTTTTTATTTGAGAACATTAAAATATTTTATCGTAATTCAAAAGATTTCTATGTAAAGAATTTTTTTTTAAATTTTATATGAAAGTTTGAACAAGGAAGATCGAGGAATTTTTAATGATTTTTTTTCAAGATTTGACTAGTCATCTCAATCGAATTTTTTTACAAATTTTTATCTCATGATCATACATGAAGATTGATTATTTATGGAAGTATAAGTACCAACAAGAGAACGAATCGCTTACGAATCGTTGGAAATCCATGATAATAAATGCTTTCGAATGTTCTATTCGGGAATGTATATACCTGAGTTTCAAGAATAGGCTGTGTTCTTGGAATGATTAAAATTCAAGAACTGCGCGATAATTGTTACGTCGTTTAAAGACCCTTGTTATAATATACCGTCTCAAGATTAGTATCGTGCAATCGTACTTTCTCTCGTATATCAGGTTCCAGTTGATTGATCGAAATAGGGACGCGTTGTGCGAAAAGAGCACAGCAAAGAGGCGTTGCAAAAGTGAGACACACTCCGCATATTAAAACTTGTATTGGTCCGGCAGCCCATTTCGCATTACGTAACAGCTGTCTTCGATCTAAGTAATTCATTACTATCGGCGCTAATACTGCAACAATAAAACAAAGTGTTCTCCATTGCCATCTCTATATATATCTTCATACATGACGTTCATATCGATTTTATAATAATTGATTGTTTTAAAGAAGATACATATATTTATATAACTTTTGTTCACAATTGATTTTGATTGTCATTCTGTAGCCATAATATTATATAACATGAATACAGAAAAAGACTTCATTTCGTTAAAGTTATCGTCAATTGATGTTAGCGTAATTGGCTCTTATTATCAGTGACAATCTCGTAGAAATTTGATTAATAAAGTATTATAAAAAGTAAATGCAATGAAACCTACTCATACTCGGAGAGGCCATAAGTATTCGTGATAATGTCACAGTTGCTATTGCTTGTTTAGCTGCTCGTTTACTGTGGCCGACTTTCGTGCCGTCCTCGGTTTGTAATTCAATACCATTTTGAAGTTCAGTGACTCTCATGAGAGGGATGTTCACGCAATTAGCCGCCGCAACTGCCGCCAGTGGCACTAATCGGCCTGCTAGCGGTGGTCCACGTTGAGCGAGACGGTTCAGAGTCAATGCCGTTATCACGGCGCCTCCTGTAGCACCGACGTAACTCTGCGCTAATGTTTCCGTTGGTATCGGACTCGAACCACTACGGTTCGTATAATTCACTATAGCGTTGAATGACTGATTGATCCATTGCCAGAAAATTACAGCCGGCGTTGATCTACAAGATAATGCATCGCTATAATAACGTAATTCTTCTGACATAACTGTTAGGTAGATTTAATCCGCAATCTCTTTAACGATTTCTTGAATGATAATTTCCTGTGAATGTTTCTCGAATGATTCTAAATTCTGTGTTGTTTAAGATTGAGAAACAAGTACATTTGAATCTTTTGTTTATTGCTTCTGTTTACAATTTTGATCGTTTTAAGTCAAAAGATATAATTATATCTCGAAATATTATCAAAATATTACTCTAACATAAAAGTACAATTATGTCTAAATATTGTTTAGTATATCTTAACGAGGCATCATAATATTTGAGTGTTGTCATAATAAGTTTTTGTTCATAATAGATAGTTCTTGATTACGTACTTGTAAAATGTCATCATACAGCCGGTTATCATCATGTTCATAGGAACTTGCGCGCTCATACGACCTATTAACAACATTTTCTCGCCGGTATCAGGATGATAGGCGCTATCATAAAGATATTTGCATCTCCATAATTCGTTTTCGGTGATTCCTTGTTTTTCTAGGACCTCGCCCTGTCTGCGACGATATCAAGATTACATACGGATTGTTATTTCATATTTATACAGTAAACACAAAAAAATATGCGTTATGTTAATATAAAAGTGAAAAATGTAACGATACGATTTATAAAATGAAGACATACGGCTTGTGATAGACAGAATTGTTCGTTGCGAATTTTTTTTTTTTTTTTTTCAATAAAATTGAACGCGCGATAAGTAATTCTGCATTAAGTAAAACTCCAACTCAAGGCGTAAACAAAATGTCATTGCAACATAACGCTCTAACACATGTTCTCTACGTGTGTAGTAAAACATATGACATCATCGTGTTGATTATGTACTCCATCTGAACGGATGAACAAAAACTAATTATAGCTGCGACTACCTGTATTTCGTGACGACATCACGTGCGTGTTCAAGTTGCTGGCTTGTGGCAAAGACATTAAGCGGGTTCGTTACCGTCAAGAAGTGCAATGCCCTTCCTCGGTAAGTGCTCTGATCCCAGTAAGGCTTATCAATGTCTATTTCGTTTGGCCTTCTATCTCCGATTTCCTTTCTTCCAAACATCTTTTCCTCCTAGCGTCTCGGTTGGCTTCCTCGTCTACGATCACCTATTCTTCCCCACTTTACTGTCACGACGACGTGTTAGTGAATCGTCGTCTTTTCGTCGCACCTGCACATTTGCTGGGAGCCCGTCAGCCTCCAGAGAGACGGCATACGTGACGTTTTACAACCGTTCACAAGATGACAGGCTGATCACTCAGCTCCCAACCGACTGACCCGCTCCAGAGTCCAGTCACTGGTTCTCCTCTCTCTTTTTCTCTACCACGCTCCGCTTCCACACACGCGCTCGGCGCCGTTTCTTCCTCTTCATTCCCCTCGTTCGATCCATGTCGCTGGTGGCTTTGCCTTTGCCGACTCTCATCGATAAGGCTTGGTGCGTGCGCACAAACCGTCCAGCAGTATCTACGTTTGGCGGATTTACCACGAGATGGTGGCACGCTGAGAGTTTTTTCATGTAAATTGATAACAATGTATTCATGTTAATTTTATAGACACAAGAAAAACTGAATTATATTTAATAAATTTGATAAAACGGTGTATGTTATAAAAAGAAAAAAACGAAGAGACAAAATGGTTACATATTATCTTACTGGTGTTACACATTGATATTATATTAATATTACATTTTAAATGTATGGTGATCCAGCAAATTTCAATATTAAGTGAAAGAGAAAAACGTGACTCAAAATATAAAATTACAAACAAGTTCTTAATTAATTTACGAATGTAATTATTGTAATATTGCCAGATGAAATATATTTATTATTAATAGAGAGAGAAGAATAGCAACGATAAAGTACTCTTATCGTGACATTTCCATTTGATCAGCTTCAGGGTCCAGTATCTTATTATTTTAATTGTAATCGTTTAATGTGTCTCCAATTTTAAAATATAACACTTAAAATTTGACAGACATTCAATAAAATGTTAACTTTATCGTATTGAAAATATAATTTCTGTATTTCGAACAGAATTTTTTATTTATATGAACATATAATTTCATTATATATGTACCATATGTACACATACATCGATAAGATCTCAAGTCTATATTTACTTTTATAGATTACAAGATTATTGTATTGTTATTATATATCGGGTATTATATTTAAATATTATACAATATTCAAATGGATATCACATAAAATAAATGAACATTGTCTTCTATTATATAATTATAACATGCTGTGACTATTTGATGTGCTTGCATTTTTAAGTAGCGCATTTGATTGTCAAATGAGCTTTCTGGGACAAAAAATTAATTTTCAAGGTAATAATACCGCTAAGTGGCCTTACTAATTAATCACATAGTAGTGATAATAAAGAAACTTTTTACTACTATAGGTATAATCCTTTTAGTTAGAATAATAGAATTATGATTCTATTAAATATATGAACCTATATTTCATACATTACGAGGCAACAGTATATATAAAATATTATTTTTTCCTAATATCTAATCAACCATTATTAACATAAATAATTAATAATTAAATTTACGTATGTTTTATACGTAGCATTATGATATCAGTATATAATTATTCGTTTAATAAGGATTATATTTCTTTCTTTATGAGAATTTTTATCAGCACTTTATATCAGAGTTTAACACAGTCTTTTAATAATATAAAAGATAGCTAGTGTCCTAATTTTATATCACTTATATAGTAACATTAATGATAAATAAATACAATTATATCATTATAATAGCTCAGTTGAAATAAATCAAAGAATAAGGTAATGCCTCTCTGAGCCGACCACTGGTTGTTGATGTAATGCTTTATTATTGTATAAATGACTACATATGTTTCGATCCAAGATTCGGATCCTTATCAATGTCTTAACAAATATTAAGACTGATATCATTACATTACCCGGTACAATGATATGTTCAGTGGAGATTGAAAAATGTCATCTGATCGAGCGTTAAAATACATCATGTAATCTCTTTGAGATATATTTTAAGAAAGAAGAATCTAGTTTAAATCTAACTAAAATAAATAAAGCATAAGAAGGTCAAATGCATAATATGGTATAATGTTTTAAATTCTACAGAATTTAAAACATTATACCATATTATATATAGAATTTATATATCCAACTATTATCATGCAAATCTGATATTGATGCGATGGTTACGTTTCACCACTTTATTAGTGAGAATACTATGTCTATCCTTGATGTCAATAGTTAAATTACAACCTTATATTATTATTTGATTAGCATATTTTTGATGCTATATGTGTCAACGATCATTCACTAGGCTTTCTAAGTTTATTATTCCCTTGTATTTAGTTCAATTATTTGATATATTAGTCTAATATGTTTATTTTAATTCATTATCCAAACGCTATCTGCACACATTATGGTACAA